GAGTGTTCTGCAAGACGAGCAAACATTTCTAATATTTTAACGTGGTAAACAAGTGATGTCTTGCAATATGCGTAGTTTGTTTCTGGAATGAATTATGCTCGCAAACCAAGGTATTACTGAATATTCTTTCAGGTTTTTTCTTTTTTATTTATTTATTTTTTTATGTATTTATTTATTTATTTATTTTTATTGTTAGCTTCAGGTGTACAGAACAATACAATCGTTATCCTTGTCACCCTTCACACAGAAACAACCCCACTCTTTAAGGTTTTTTCGAAGTACACTCATTGATTTCTCTCAAACTCTGGTAAGGTTTCCTTTCTTGCTGGATAAATAGGAACAAATCTGGGATCCACTTGAAGTGATACATTATGAAGACCATGGCAGCTGCATGTATGCCTGGGCACCTTCGAGAATGTGTTATAGAGAACATGGTTAGGCAGTATCTCTTTTCTTTCTGAAGTCCAGGTCATATTTGTATACATATATTTCTCTGCTTCTCTGCCCCTTTCTATCTTTCTCTGTTTATGTTAACCCTTCCCTATCCCCTTCCCTGACACCCCATAACCACATTACAGGATGGAATAAATTTGTATTTGCTCTCCAAGCAGCATGAGATACAGCAGATGAGGTGGTACAGGGTTCAGGAGGAGTTATAGTACATGATACATGTGCTAAGAATAAATGGGGAAAGTTAACTATCATCATTATTTATTATAATGTGTCCTGACTATATTGTCATTGATCTGCTAACTTAATATTTCAATGGGACATGCAAGATGGTTTAGACCTAAACTATCAAACATCTAAGAAGGTTATGATTTAAAGACACTATTTACACCCATAGGGAAAAAGCAAAAATCTTTTAATTTCCTCTCTGAATGTTCCTGAATTTGTTCTCCCCCGTTTTTTGGTGGAAAATGGTAGTGCTGCATACAAATAAATCTCCCAACTCAAGTGGTACTTCAAGTCTGTTTTAGCTATTTACTTAGATTCTTGAGGTCTGGGGAGCCTGCAGTTTTGTTGGTGTGGATAGCATTAAGAAGAGAGGGGAGACAGAGATGGAGAAAGAGAGAAGGAGAGGGGGAGAGAAGGAGAAAGGGAGGGAGGGAAGGGGGGAGAGAGAGAGAGAGATAAGACAATGCAGGGTGATAGGAAGGGAAGTATTATAGAAAAGACATTTAAATCATTGTCTGCGATCAGAATGCACAGCTTTGCCGTTCTATCACATAATTCCACCTGGGCCAGATGACCACCAGCCTATAATTTCTCTTTTGAAGCACACAAGGAAATGAAAGCTTTAACAGCCCTTCCAGGCTGCGAGTTAGGAGATGCTCCTGCTGATGTTAGAGCCTTGGGTTGTTCCTGAAACATAATTGTGACATCTCCTGAGAACACAGTGTGTTGCAAATGGCACAGTCTAGGTCGTCCTGGTATTTTGGTTGGCAAAGCCCCCGTCTCTGCCTCAGACTCTTTCTCCTGCCACCCAGGCTCCAGACAGAGACAACTATGTACTGCTCTGCATGGTTATTTGTCTGAAAAAAAGCTTTACAATTGTACCAGATTTATGGGTCCACAATTGGGGCATTTATGTAAAATTTGAGCCTAGCTATCAAGGGATCTGCTAGAAAAATGTAATTTACTTAGCAAAATCAAATTTCAAGTCAGCATTATTCACCATAAGGAAAAGCACAAATTCAGCAAAAGGGAAGGCAACGCTGAAATTCACCTTCAAAGCTAAATATTGAATCTTAAAACCAATTTAACCTCTAATTCATTGGGGGTTTAATAATCTCCTTTATGTCTGGTTAAATCTGAAGCTAAGTGGTTAGCAAAAGGTTTTGGCTTGTTAAAATTTTCTCCCCTTACAGATTAAATTTTTATAAATGGAGATGAGTTACTGGTTTAAATGTTTCCCACAGCTGGATTCAGAGAAGTACTGTTTCATGAGTCCTCAAATGGAACAATTAAGTTCTTGTGTGAAGGAGAAAGAAGCCAGCTTCACAGTGGGGAGTGTGGGGCGAGAGAGGGTGGAATGGCAGGAACAGTGGCTTTGGCTGGAACAAAGCCACCCAGGTTACAGGAACCCCAAAGCAGGACCCAAGCAGGGCCGTGGGAAGCAGAGCCCAGCTGGTTGTCCAGCGTCTGCAATGGCTCTGCCTAACAATTTCATTTTGCCCCAGGGAGACATAAACTCTCAGAAGCAAATATTTGTTGAGCACGTCTTATGTGCAAAATAAAGAGGGACAAAGAGAGAAAACACAAAATAAAAAGAGAGAAAATATGTACGTAGTGAACATAACAACTTACAAGGTCATGTTTGTCATAGGAGTGCAACAGGCTACAGAGATTCCCAACATTTTTGAGCATGAGCCACTTTTTTTTCCCCTATTGAGTTTAAATTTATTAATATACCAATTCATTTTAATTAATACAATTAAGTGACCTATGCACATAGGTATATATTTAATAAGCCATTACTTTGAACATAGCTTTTATGTGACATAATTTCATATATCGCAGGGTGAAATGAATATGAGCAATGTTTCTGGAGCTAGCTTCAAATTACTCCACACTAAAGCTATAGCCAGGTGCAGCTAAGAAAAGCACACCTGTCATGGCCGGATTTGGGCTCTCTAATCCTTTGGTTCAGCTGGTACTGCAACATTTGCTGGTCTTCTATACTATTCCCTGTTATAGCACATCTTGAGTCACCCCTTTATAATATCAAACATTTGGGGGAATCTCCACATGTGATAGCTACTTGAATTATTTCCTGAGGAAATATATATATATATATATATATATTATATATATAATATATATATAAAATATATATGTGTATAATATATATATATATATAATATATATAATATATATTATATATTTATATAAAGCTATTGTGAAATCAGGAATGCATTTCTTAATCTTGTACAACAATGGCATGTATTTGAAGGTAGTAGAAAATATGTGGGTGAGACATAAGATGGATTTGGCTTTATGATAGATTCACAGGGGAGCATGTAGATTCACAGACCAGTTTACAGTAATGTCAGGCCCCATGGGCCACCACTCCTGCAGGATTTTGAAGAAGGTGAGGGTACCGTTAGCTGGATTCCTAGGGAAAACTTCATTGGTGAGACTGCATTTGAACTTTGGGTTACTAGGCCTCCCTGTTCCTAAACTTTGCACCTTAAGAATGTAGCTGTGACAGCATCACACTGTCAGATTGCCATGCAGTATCTAGAAGCTGTTGATACTCTCACTACAATGGGAGAAGAGCGTTCTACTGGTCAATGTGACCCTAGCTGGCATTTGAATTTGATTGACATGATGAGCTTCTCTCTTTGACACTCGAGGGCTTATACTAATCTTCCTAAACAGAATTTGTACCTAATATTGGCTTCCTACTCTTTAAAGCAGGACTAACTCCATTATCCACCCCCCACCCAACATATCTTAATTTAGCCTACTAGAAAGGTCTAGTACAAAAAAAATATATAAAATGTGTTGCTCAAGATAAAATGGAGCTCTTTCCCTGAGGCTAGAGAGTAGTTGGTCCTTTGGGGCCCCTGTCTAGCTTGCATTGAGGACCTTCCAGTATCCCTGGCAGCTCCCAGTGACAGTACCTCCTGCCCTAAGATAGTTGGTATAAGGTATATGCTTGATCCCCAGTGAACTGTTTTCATTTCTCACCTGGAAATTTGGATCTGAGAGGCACAGAGTCTGGGAGTTTTCAGAGCTGAGCCGTATTTACGACAACTTTCCACAGAGGAGGGGCATAGAGTTGAACTCATCCTTGAATTCTATCGGCTAATCTTCCCAATAACCCCCCACTTTTTTCTCTTAAGCTAAGCAGAATTCGGTCCTGTTTTTTGCAACCCAAAGAACTTTAATTGCATAAGTGTTTTGGAGCAGGAAAGTGTACTGTTCTGTTTTGGACTCTAAGTTAAACCTATTGAAAACTTTAAAGATTCTTAAAATTAAGAGTTGCAAGCCACATATAGGTTAGGAAGTTGTGGGATTTAGACTAACCAGTAGGAATCTACATACACATTTACAGTGTTGATGACCAACTTTGTGTTTTTTTAAAGGTGGGTAGGGAATAGCAGTGCTTTCTTTTTACCACTTCCAAGTTTTATAAGACTTTCTCATGTGCAGAAAGTTCCTTTCTCTGACCCCATATAAAGCTAATCTGATGGCTTGGCATCAGACTTGACCAAGCTTATCTGGATTAATGCCACCTTTAAAGGGGAACAGTCCTTCTTATTGCCTCCCTTAGCCACCAGGGCTGTTTTTAGAAGGAATGAGTGAAAAATAAGTGGTTTATTTAAAGTACTAAATTTATATTGGTAAATGTAAAAAAATACAAATGTTATTTTTAAAAGTACACATTTCCATGCATAGTATAATTATGTCAATATAATAAAAATAAAAACAAATCTTTAAGATTTAAGGAGCAATAGACCAAAGTACTAATAGCCATTTGAAGGAGTAGTGGAATCACAGATGGTCCCTTCCCCACCATTTTTTCCAGTTGTCCAACCTTTCTATAATATGATGTCATTGCATCTATAATAATTTTTGAATACATAGGATGTAGGGAGAATAAATAAATATACCTAGTCTACTTTAAGATTTATCTATCATCTATCATCTATCTATCATCATCTAACTATATAGAGAGGAAGAAAGGAAGGAAGGAGGGAAGGAAGGAAGGAAGGGATAACGAAAGAAAGAGGAAGGAAGGAAGGAAAGAAGGAAGGAAGGGAAAAAAGAACGAGTGAAATAGATATTCTCAAGTATTGTCAAATTGTTAGAGGGAAAAAACAAACAAACCTGGTAAAACAGTCTTGATAAACTTTAAACTTTAATTTTTGGTCTTTAAGCACCAGGAGATTTTTGTGTCTATATTCAGTTTATGAATGACTGAGTGATATTTGTGTCAGCATTCAAAAAATGGAATAGAAACTAATACACTTTTTCCTTCACTGTAACAGTTTGAAATGCCTGATACCCCTCGGGATGAAGCAGCTGCGTCTCAGAGAACTGCTACAGGTATTTGTTTATTTATTTATTTATTTATTTATTTGATCTAATTTGATTATTAAATTTATTGGGGCAAAACATTGTTTAGTAAAATTAAATAGGTTTCTACAGACTAATATCTCTGATGACTACAGATGCAAAAATCCTAAACACAATACTAGCAAATTGAATGCAACAATACGTTAAAAAGGTTATACATCACGATTAAGTGGGGTTCATTCCAGTGGCGCAAGGATGGTTCAACATATGCAAATTGATCGAGGTGATACACCATATAAACAAAATAAAGGATAAAAATCATATGATCGTATCAATACATACAGAAAAAGCATTTGACAAGACACAACATCCACTTATGATGAAACATTTAATAAAATGGGTATAGAAGGAAAATAACTCAGCATAATAAAGGCCATATATAGGTTTTAGATTATGAGGTTATTTGGCAGAGTTGTCCTCTTTATCTATTTGTCTAAAATAGAATTAGGTTACACGAACAACAAAGATACATAAGAGAAATCTCCTTTGAGATTCAAAGGGAAGTGAGAAAAAAAATTGGTATTAATAAGGAACATTTTTCTACTCACAGTAAAGGAACTCTCTTTCAGAATTTTAATGTAAAAATGTTGCACCAGGAAACTAGAAATTTTAATTAGAAATTTAAAAAAAATATTTAACATGCATAACATGCCAAAGTTGTTATATATTTTGTTGACTAAAACGCCAATGCCTTCTTTAATGTGGTGTGCACATATATTTACATATCAACTACACCAGGACCTTACTCAAAGCATGTTAGAAACAGTTAAGGAATTTAAACGATTCAGTAGGAATTGGAACTGGATTGGCCTTTACAAATGATCTAGACCACAGCTCTCCAATATAACTTTTCGAGATGATGGAAATATTCTATATCTGTATTACCAATACAGTAGCCACCGGTCTTGTGTAATCACTTGAAATGTGGCTGGTATGACTAAGGAACTAAAATTTTAATGCAATTAACTTTAAAATTAAATAGCCACATGTGGCTAGTGCTCTGTATTGGACAGTACAGATCATGCTTATTTGGCGGATAAAGAAGTTGAGAAGCTGAATGAGAAGCCCAAGACAACTGTCAAATCGACCATTACTATTTTCTGTCCATTTTCATCAAGGAGAGATCGGGGAAGAGGGGGAAGATGAGTGAGTTTGGTATATTAGTGTTCTAAGACTGCTCCCTGACAAACCTTTATTTTTGAACCTGTTGAAACACCTAGAAACCACCCACCCAGCAGGGGTCGTGGGTAAGATTACCTCCAAGCCCACTCTGATTGGCACACTAATAATACACTTGATAGTACTTCGTAGTCTTCAAAGCTTGTTCACATATATGATATTTTCTCATTTGCTCTTTTCAAAAACCACATGAGGTTGGAAGAGAAGATATCATCCCCACTTTATATCTGAGGTTCTGATAGGCCAAATGATTAGCTCAAATTCATGTGTGTTTAAGTGCATCTGCTGGAAAAGAAGGTTTTGACTCTTCGTTCAGTCTCTTTTTGTTATACCCGACTGTCTTTCATCTAAGCCCCTGAGAAGGGTTAAGACTTGGGAAGCTGCCTTGTATTTAGGGTAGATTAGGGAAGACTCACAGAACAGAAGCATCACACCTAAAACATCCTCTGGCAAAAGTCTAGTGGGAGGCTTCATAGACTCCAGAATCAAGAGGGTGCAGCATTGACACCACTCTGTTGAACTTACTAGAAGTATGTCTTGGACAAGTTACTTAACCTCTTTAAATACTACTTCCCTGATTGTTACTAGGAGACTTCTTGTGCAAGTTAAATGAAATGATTCATGTAAAGTACTAAGTGTAGGGCATATAGTAACTGCTCAATGCATGTTGCTATAATTATGCATATTAATATATATATATATATATATATATATATATATATATATATATATAAAAGATGGGAGCTGTGTTTTCATTGCTTCATTGGCCTACTTCCAGTTTCAGAACTAGGAGATGGTGACCTTGGGTTTGATCGGCTTTAGAACACTAATAAATCTCTTCGCATTTTCCCACATTTTTCCCGTCCACTCTAATTCTCTATTCTCTTTCTCCCACTACAATGCCATCAGGAAAATGTAATTGAGCTTCCACCCCTGGACTCTCTCTTTCATTGCTGTAACATCTGTGGGGTTCTAGAGGAAATACTGAGGGCAGACACCAGGGTGCCTGGTGAGATCTTGGAAACATTCATTGGCTTCCCCATGTGCACCATCATTGTGGGTGTGGCAGCGTGAAGCCACATGCCCAGTTCAAAGGAATATATTTTGACAGAGTTTTCAAAAATCAAACTCTTTCTCCTTGTGGAAATTTTTCCCCCCACACTCCTACCATCATTAACCACTATAAATATTGAGTCACTATCAAAGTAGGCCTGTACACAAAGCCTTCACCCCCAATTCAGAGGTTATGTCCACTACACTTCGTTTCTCCTCCTCCAATCATCTCGTGACCTACAGGCTCATTCATGAGCTTTGGAAATGTTCAGGATGGACCCCAAAACATCAGATCCATAGATTTTCTCCCTAATGGTTCAGCCCCACTATGGGAGAAGAATATCAAAATCATGGAGATCCTACGTGTAAAATAGGAGAAAGTTGAAGAGCAATAATCTAAATTAAAATGGAATACAGATGATAATCTGTTATCCTATCCAGTGGGAGGAAATATATAGCACTAGAAAAGAGTAAAAGAACCCACCATCCAGGGAGGTAAACCTTTGCTCTGTGGTCTGGGTAAACATAGCTCATCCCAATTCCACTAGTTACTATTCTTTTTTTTTTTTTAAAGATTTTTTTTTTATTGGGGAATTGGGGGGATGGGAACAGTGCTGGGGAATTGGGGGAAGGGGAACAGACAAGTTGCTGTCCTTTTGTTCTTCAGTCTAGTTGTGGAGGACGTTGCTTCACTGACCCAAGTTGGCACCATCATTGGGCTCTTCCCAGACGAGGCAGATCAGTCGCCGGCTTCTGGATGGCCGCTCATGCTGGCTGCTGGCTACACACGGTAGCCCATGACAACCCACTGCCACAGGGGCTGCAGCCTACGCTGTAGCCGGCGACTCACAGCATCACAGCTCCAGGTTGAGCTGTTGTTCAGCATCTTAGCTGTGGAGGGACTGGCCCTCATATGTGGGATCCGAACCAGGGCCCTCTGGCGTCCCAAGCCAGCTCTTAACCAATGTGCCACTCGGCCGGCCCTAATTACTATTCTTTTAAGGGCACTCTACGTCAGTACTTCCCCCCGCTGTGGATTATTCAGATGGCATAATGTTTGTAAAATCCTTCTTTGGCTACTATGGATGATGACAAGAAGAGACTGTAGTAACTTTAGGACCCCAGTCTTAACAGAACATAACAAATATTTAATAATTACTGTGACCAGTCGTGTGCAATGCATGTCCATTCTGGTCAGAGCTTCTATTTTTGTTTCCGCTACAAATTTGCATCATAGCAGGAGTGTGAATAGATACCTATAAAGCTTTTTTAGCAATTGGAAAACAAAATATTCTGGTTAAAGCATGGTGCCAGTGTAATCAAGATCACAATTTTGATCTCTTCATAAGCCAGTTAAATAAAACATTCTAGTTCACATTTATAGACTGAACCCCCAACTGGGATCGGCCTTTTAAGCAATATGCATCGCTAGGCAAGATGACTGGGCTGCAGAATGTTTATTGCACATTTTCCTGTCGTGGTTACTGGAAAAAACAACACAAAGACCTTGGCCTTATATTTGAAGGACAGCACATTATTAACAATATAGTGAGAAAGTGCTTCCTAGGTTCAAGCCCAGACCGTTTACCGGCCATATGACCTTGGGCCTTTGAATCACACTTGTGCTATTGGGAAAACAGAAAAAAAAAAAAGCTTTTCTTCCTTTATCACAAGGGTGCTGTGGGGAATAAATGGAAGAATGAATGAGCCATCTCTTTGTAACAATGAAATACTTATGCAAGTACAAGATACTATTAATATTTATAGACTAAATGCTCAGAGATTTTTTTTTTTTTTATCGTTGCTGTGATGTGTTTGTTTTGTTTTCCCCTGGGGTAGCTTTAAAAAATGTGCCTTGCATTTCTGTTATGCTGGCATTTAGACCTCTGCTTCATCAAAATCAGGGACAAACTTTCATAAATTCTTCTTCTTTATTGAAAAGAAAGCCCATATGTCTCCAGTGCACATTATCACAAACAAGGACTCAGTTATGATGAATGACTGTGAAGCAAAGTTGATGGCCACTGCATAATTATACTTCCACATAAATTACATTGAAAACAACATTGTGTAACACCTGCAAGACAAGGCTGGCTTTTAGAGAAGTTATTTTTGTTGAGAGGGTGCAAAGGAAGAGAGATGGGCAGGGTACACGGAACTGCCTCCTGACGAGCTATAAAAACACCAAGAGAACATAAGAGCAAGCATGGCTTTCTTTGCTTTCTGTTTTACACCCACCCCTTCGTGCTGCACAGCTGAGTTGTAAATATTAAAACCATAAACAGAGAAGATCTTAATTACCTTCCTTCCTTTGAATTAGGCTTTAGTTTAAAAGTCACACAAGATCTCAGAAATTATCTCTTTAAAATATTAAGCTGGGTGTAGAGAGAAGGGCTTTGGTGACCTGGAAGGGGAGAGGAAGCACGGCATATCTTCTTGTATCCATTCCTTAAACTTTGACCCAGTTGAGTGAATTCCTCAACAACTTAAATACTGAGGGGAAAAATGTGAGGTTTAGTAAGAAATAAGGGACATAAGACACTTTGATCAGTGACTGATAACAGAAAAAGGAGAAAAATCTTGCTGAACAGGGAGAGAGAGCTGAAAATCAGGCTGAGCTGACGCTAAGTTGCAGAGTGGACTAGCCAGACCCTTAAATCCTTGCAGAGCCTCTGGATTCCAGGTTGGAGTATCAGCCTCCAGGCCATAAGGAAAGAGCTTCCTTGTATTCTGAGGTA